GACTGATACAATACTGGAAATGGAAATATTAATTACGTTTGGTTGTGCGATGGCCATAAAGAATCCACAGCTGAAATTTCCTAATGAAATAGTGTCATGTTGCAGTTGATATTCCTCTCAGCAGTGAAATGTTAGTACCATGTAATACCAATTGAGATATCCCAGGCACTTGGCAGGGAATGCTGCTACCAATGGATAGAAACCAAATTGCAGAAAGTGGAATAATGGTGGCTAGAGTGCTAGTAGCAGATTGTTATTGGACGTTACTATTATGCTTGCTGAATGTAACACCACACAAAATACATGTAAAATAGGGTACTGCTGTAGGGATAGTGAAGCTCTTATCAGAGGGTTGAGACTTGGTTATAGCAGAGAGTGGGGGGACAGGAAATTAAATACCACTGGAGACCGAACTGGATGATGCTAGAGCAGAAAAAGTGGCAGCATTATTGATGAAGTATGTGGATGTATTTTCCAGGGGTGATGATGATAGAGGGTGTACCAATCTGGTTAAACACGCCATTAATACAGGCGAGACAGTTCCTATTAGGCAAGCCTCAAAAGGCTACCAATTTGGCAGAGAGGGGAAGTGGGGAAGCAGTTAGAAAAGATGCTGAAATTCGGTATTATTGAACCTTTGGCCTCACCTATCGTGCGATGGAAAAAAATGTAGAACGAGGTTTTTGTGGACTACAGAAAGCTGAGTGATGTAACAATTCAAGATGCGCATCAGTTTGTCAGGAGCTTGCTGGTTTTCTACCTTATTTTGTCGCTAGCGGTTACTTGCAAGTCCAGTTAAATGAAGAAGCATGACAAAAATTCCTTTATTACCCGCAGCAGTCTATATAGTTGGAAAGTAATGCATTTTAGCCTTTGCAATGTGCCCTCCACAATTGGCTATAGAACGTATAACAGTGGGGAATACTCTTGTCATATTTAGATGACAAGCCTATTCTTCTTCCTGTTTCAATATATAATTCATGCGACGAAACCCAAAATCGTGCCAACACATTCTTAGAAATATTTTTTTTTAAATCAAATCTACATATTTATTTCTTTAACCTTTAAATTTACAATATGACACAATTTGTGGGCATTCTACAATCTCATTGTGTCACATTTAGTATAAATACCATTTTTTTTAAATTCCTTGAGAAAATCCCAGAAATTGATCACCTGTTGATTTACCCATAATGCACTAAATCCATTGGAATAAAACACCTTTTTTAATATAAAGACCCTAACATTTCCAACCCATATTTGCCCTGATGAACTGATACTGATATTAACAATTTGGGATGAATTTGTGTTGATACATTTTAATCAAAGGTGAATTATCTCATACAATGCACAATACGTTGAACTTGTTTAATTCTTCAAGTTTATAGCTAGTCTTCAGTTATCGCAATATTCGGTCAGTGTATTTAATAAACGTTGCAAGCTGATAGAGGAACTGATGAAAATAGTTTAATTCGATTTAGAACAATATATACATAGCAGTTTTACATAATTAATAAGAAGTGTAAACAAATATCAACAGACTACTATACATTTTAAATAGACATTGATAAAGTAAATTTAGTAGAGATGTTTAAAACAGGTTACAATTATAGTACAAAGATGGTGTTTATGGTCACCGAGCATTCAATTTGATTCAATTTTTGATTGTTTGAAGTTTGCAATTTTCTATTATCTTGTGTTTCTTTGTGGAATGGTATCTGTATCATTTAATAAACAATATATTTGATCCATTTAAAACATACTCACAAGTGTAATTCATGCAAAACACCATATCCGATATTGATTGGATGTTGACATTGCATGTAAAACAGTAGCATGCAAATAAGTTGTTCGACCAAACATTCATTTCCCAGTCATCTAGACAATATTTGCGATATGTGTGGTATGAACATTCTAAAATCGTAGTCGGTACCAGAAAGGTAATTTTGGTTTAATCTTACACGGATTAAAAATTTATTATAATGACAGATAAGTAATTAAATAAATAAAATTACATAACAAAGTATTGCTTATAACGGGTGACATTTATAGCAACACTATAATTAAAATCAATAACAAACCACACGTATGTATTCAAAGTAATCATGTCTGGTCTCAATCCATTGTACGCGAATCCATGTCAGTTGTATGTCAGAAGTATTTCACGAATTTTCAAATTTTTGCCCCAAGTCCCTTTTTGAGCGTGTTTGACGACATGGAGACATCATCCTACAGCCAACCCAGACAGTTAAGGTAGCAACTGGAATTAGTTTTTTTTGTAACTACTAAATGAGAGAGAAGGTAAATATTTTGTTCATTTTCCTAAAGGGCACCCTCTTTTACAAAATGAATAAAGGGGGTCCATTGATTTTTTTTGCAAAAAGCACAGAGAGTTGCCCGACCCCCTTAGGAATAATAAATGGTCATTCCCTTAGAAAGCGATACTGGGAACGGTAAAAGAGGGGTTTTTACTGTTGCTAGGCAAGCAGTGGTAGCTATAAGCAACAAAGTTTTGCACGGCACCACTACGTCATAATTGGATCAATGTATTGGAAATCGGCCAATACTAGAGTAGAAGTTGTTGGGGTAAAAAACACACAGATGCACACACAGAATTTATTTATCGTTGGTCAAAATTATTGCATTTATGGTTGGTGAAAGTTACATTTCTGGTTGGTATTCTATTTTATTACATTTATGGGTGATAATCCCCTCTTCCCACATGAGGAAAAAAATGTTGCATTTCATGATTGCGTCCAATGTAAACATGGTATTTTGAACAATGTAAAACTATTCGAGCAAGGTTCGTCGCCAATTACAACACAGGTCTATCAAAGACACAGGTCTGAAACAGAGGCGGCGGCACCCGGGCGTTGTGTCGACCCCCCCCCCCCGAAAAATGCGCGGCCTGCGCTTATGGTGAGCAGAGCCCTCCCCCCCCCCTCCCGTGCAAAATTTCGTGAGGCCGCCTCTGTAAAAATACATAAATATTCAGAAAATCACTTCCACATCTATTTTTTGTTATCTTCTTCCACGCCATCAACTGGATTTGTTTCGAATTTATCCTGTTTGGCATAGTACCATCTCTTCAATGCAATGCCTACAGAAGAAATTGTCACTAAAATAGCGCCCAACATGGCGACCCAGTCCGGTTTGCTACCATACCACAAATACTGGAAAATATAGGCGAAGACAATGTCCATGGTCCGTATAATTGACACGTATACAGCTTTTTCGTACTGCAAAGCCTTTGTGAGAAGGATTTGACCACCAACTCCACACAGTCCAACAAACACTATGAAAAACCAGTCATGTGGCGTTTGGGGCAGTGAATACTTGTCTAAAATGAACAGTAATGTTGAAGTGGTGATTATTCCGCACACAGAATAATAAAATATTATTGTCAGATAGCTTACTTTCTTCCCTAGCTTTCTACTAGAAACAAACACCATGGCAGCAAATAGGGCGCCAAAGAAAGCAAACAACGCACCCAGTAATGATTCGGAGCTTTCTACTTCAGTTAGTGTTGTGTTTTGTGATGATCCAGAGAACAAAAATTGTGGCTTTAGTATGACCATAACACCGATAACGCTGATTAAGGCAAGGAGAAAATCAATAACTTTGATAGATTCTTTCAAACACATACAGCTCAAAAATGCAGTGTATATAGGATTTGTGAAGAATATCACAACAGCGTCTCCAACGGGCATTAAATGAACAGCTATAAATACGCACGTGACACTCAAACATCCGGTAACACCACGTGATATCAGCCATCTGTACTGGTATGCATTCTCCCCTCGGAATGAAATGTTCTTGCACAGCATGATGGGAGTGACGCATGCATTCTGGATCACCATGCGCACAAATGTAATCTCCAAGGGATGGACAGTGGTAACCATTTTGGCGCCAGTGAAGCTACCAGCAAAGAACATACAGGAAATAAAAGCAAAGACCATTCCAATATGTGATGATGAAATTGCTGAACATCTTCTCTTTTTTCTCACCACTTGATTTTTATTCTCACCATTTTCAGTTAGCAAAGGAGCTGAAGACATAACCTCGTGTAAATCTCCGATTTCCTCGTCATCTGTAACCATTGCAACACGCGTAGATCTGATGAAGAAGAATATACGGAACTTTTATTTAGAGTGTTCACTCCCATAATAACAGGTAAATACAAAAGGCGTGGAGGATGCGGTTGAAAAACACACATTTTGCTAGGCTTAACACGTCTTACTTTCACGAAACGTGTATGATTTACAAATATTTATAAACCGGCCAATTGATTCATTCGCGAGTAGCCAATCAGCGATGGTGTTGCACCTGTATTAATGAGAGTCATTATTTTACTTGCCTCAATTCCCCATTGCAAAATTTAAAGTAAGTGGCCTGAAAGTCTCAGTGTGTTATTGAGAAGGTAAAGTTACTTTAAGCAGTAAAGTCTTAAAACAGGTATGATTCTGATTGTTCAATGTCAAAATATGGAGGGAATTAGTTGATGGGAGAAATATAATGAACTTTCCAGTATTCCAAAATAAATTAGCTAAAGTAGCTAACAACACAGGACATCTGGAATTTACAATACCTTTCTGTCTGGTGATGTTTCCTACACATATACAAACTTTCAGGTTAACTACTCTATTCAAAACACCTGACACCACTTCAAGTGTATCACGAGGTCCATATATATATATATTACTTTAACTGATTTATTGTATTTGTTTTATGGGATTTTAGTGTACATGTCGACTTATTTCGTCCTCGGACTTATTAGTTTCCTTTGTTAACTATGAGATATTGTTTGTGTATTTTAATATTTTTGCGATGGAGAAACAACTGTCACTTAAATGTTTAAATTTAATTTCATTTAACGAGGGTTTTACGATGCTCCGAATATTATAATTATTGTATAATGTATATTGATAAACACGTAAAATTGAGACTGAAAAATGTCAGTCACAAAACTGCGAGATCAATAGAACATAGGATATATAGAAAATCAATTAACCTTTACTAGAAATGAAGTAAACTATACAGCAAACAACAAACAAACAAACACAATAGGGGATTTAATATAAACCGTTCTATAACAAAACTACTGATGAGTTATTAAAAAATTATATCATTGTAATGATAATTACAATTATTTACAATTGCAATTAATACATAAAGTCATAAATTACAATCAATTAGTTCTGCTCAGGGTCTATTCAGAATATTTTATAGATACATGATTATTGAAATGATATGTGATCTGATATTATATCGTACTATTTCATTAAATGCATGGGTGTCTGAAAAACAAAATAAATAAATGAAACACAGGAAACTGAGAGAAAAAACACGTGATCGTGTTTTTATTTTTATTTCTAATTCGTCGGGTACTCCGACTTGTAAGAAGATGTGTGTTCCTCTCCCGCTTTAGAAAAAATACGGATTGGGGATGGCTACTCTACTGACTTAAACAAATTGTATATGGCTTCAACAAAAACAACAATTTGTGTCATAAACACGGTGACTAAGAACTACCATGGCAACGAATTCACGCTGAGGGTTGGTTGTTATCTCAACAAGGGAAGTAATGAGTTTGGTATGTCTGTTTGTCTGTCTGTGTAAATCTCAAATACTTTGAAACACCAATGGAGAATGGTTCGTTCTGTATTGCCAACATTAAACTGATTCCATAACACATTCACCTCTATCAATTGGGTGTAGAGATAGATGTTGACCACTACCTTGCCAAATTTAGAGACATTTGTGGTATGGGAATTACGTAATGTTCAACTGTGACAATGAAAGTGTTGTATGCTCATGGCGCAAAGGCACACCAAATTTCTCCAAATGGCACTTATACATATTGTAGTAAGAACCAAGTACATTACAAATGCCCTATCTTATTCACAGATTCGTCAATTTCGCTTACTGGCTTCTCAAACTGCAATATACCCAGTAAAAACTGTTATCGCCCATCTATGTCGCTGCCAGCTTCTACCATAGCAAGACAAATCTTGCTTGAACCAGCGGTCGGGTAGCATGCATTTCATTCAACTTGCCTTCTCTACCAGACGTACATACACAGCTTGACAAACGATAAATACATGTTCGCAGTATGTTTAACTTTGCTTACAAGCCACTCACACACTGAAACATATGCTACCAACTTTACTCGACAGCTGAGATCAAATTGAACTTCCTTTTAGTGCATTGCAGCATATGCACATGATTACCATGCATCAACGACTCTTCTTCATTCAGACATTCATATTGAGGATCCAATACATTGGTGCTGCACATAAAGGCATTTGAAACAGATCCATTCCATCATAGCCAACACATGGTCATAGCACATTATGGGACAACTGTGTGTGCAATGTTTGCTTTAATACAAAAAGTACATTGCTACGCATGCTTTACCAGTTTAACAAGGTGGCTTACATGACTTGGTAAACGCTCACATATATCATAAAGGAGATAATATTTAGGTTATTCTAACATCTTTCGCTGTAACAGCCCACAGGTTCTATAGTGGTGCAGCTACCAGTGCTGCTCAATCAAATGTGCCAGTATGGCTGGTAAAGTGCCTCGGTGGATGGACTCTTTACTTGGTGTAATCAATATTTCCGGGACAATAATCACCATGGTATATGCATGGTAGTGCCAGCCAGAGCTTGAACTCAAACACACGATCAATGTTGGAACTGTCTGGCAACATGATTTATATGAGCAACTTGTTTGTCCTATTGAACTCTTGTCAATCATCTTTTAGAACATTTTATTAATGTCACGAACTGAACTGCTCGTTTTTGGAACTCGTTTTTTGTTGTGAAAACTGCTTCAAACTGCAAACTGTTTGCAGTTGTTCATGTCTGTCGCCCATATCCCTTGCTTTGTGTTTATTAACTCGCCCAGTAGTGCGGTATCAGATTGATACGCGAAGAAGATTGTAAGTAGAGTTGTAAGTTTTCTCCGTTCAGATCGTCCGTTATCGCGGGTGGGGATCGTTTAGTGAAACTATATCACCACAACCGAGGCAGTATAGGGAACGAAATATGCCGGTAACGGACACACAAAAACAACACAATATATAAGGTTTCATTCACTTTACAATCGTTTTCACTAAACATTGGACAATCAGATTGTGGTAAATGTTGATACATCAGAGCAAGTACCAAGTATCACTACTAATCAAAACATCATAACTGTAGCCTAAACATGTTTGATACAATGTATAACTGTCTGTACTCAACTCATTTACATAAAATGTTACGTCTGTGTGTGTCCCAGTAGTGTGTCCAGACACCCAGAGCATATAACGCGGGAAAGTCGGGAGTACATGTAATTTGGTGACAAAATGCAGTCTCATTAATTCGACACACAATTTAGTGTACGACAGAAAATTGTTGAACTTTACTTAAATTGGCTGTCG